TCAAATAGGTCGCGAGTTCGAGGCTCGGATAGGCCACCACTTGAGTCAGGTATGACTGGCTGACGATGGCTAATAAGACATAAATGACCATTCCAGTCTCTCTTGTATTTGCCGGCAATAATATCTGCCTAAACTACTCGCTGCTACAGCTGCTGTCAGGGCCTGAGAAATGAGGTTCAAGGCAAAAGCGGAGCTGGACGAGTGAGTTCCGTTAGCCATTGGAGCATTATCCTACAACATTACAGTGTCCGCTCCGCCGTCTTAACCGAAGACATCTTTCGCTGAAAGCCTTGCTTTCAGTGGTGGAGGTGTCTGTCATTGACCGTCAGAGTGGCTGCCCACCGAATATGTTAAGTGGCTAAAACCATCGCGAAATGTCCGTTTTTATCGCACCTGTACAGTTTTTCTCGTGTGAAATAAATGGCCTTGAAAGTAATCCACCTTCAGTAAGAGACCTGCGTGCGACTCATATAGTTTTTAGTCAGTGGAGGCAGAATATGCGAATATCAGTTTTCACTGAATTCATCCTCGTCACCAGTAACTCTACTTGCTCACTCAGCTTCTAATGGCGTAGTGTGTCTGTGTGTACAGGGTTGCTTGACTTTTAGCTCTCACGAGCAATTCGCACTGTCCAACTGCTTATCTTTACGGATAATGTACATGGCTACATTTTTTTCCCACACTCTTCCTGTCCAAGTGCAAGGCACGCTTGCGCATACTTGTACATGATCGTTTACCGCTCATGCCACCGTAGATAAACAGACAGTCATTATAGTCAATAGGGCCAGATGACTTCTGATGTGTCCCGCAGCGGTAGGTGACCGCTGGGCTACTTGAACAAACGATTCTGAGATCCACGTTAAATGACCGTAGCCTCGTGCAAGACTAGGCGCGCAAGATTTTGGGGTCTTCGCCTTTGCTCGGAAGAACTTCCTTGTCAAGGGAGGAAAGTAAAATTACGGTTTCCCAAAAGCAACGAATTGTGAGCGCCTACGCATCCACGGCGGCAGTAGCCATCCTCTCACAAAATCATGTTGGCCTCCAGACATAATCATCGGGACGGTGCCAATTGTAATACGACAGTTCGACCGCCCATTTCGACGATGTCCACTAGGAGCTCTAGCGAGCTGAAGGCAAACGCGGTGACCTCCACTGTATTATTGTGAAAGTAGACTTGCGGAGAATCTATCCCACTCTCTCATCACTCCACACCGGACCGGATGTTAAGAGAAAAGTAAAGAAGACCGGAGACGAGGGAGGGCGCAGGCGGCCGGCGCGCACAACACTCAACACGCGTATTAACAGCACACCTCGCTAGGAGCGCCATGAAGGCCACATTAAGAAAAAGCCATTACAGCCTGACTCTCAGCCTGCAGTAAGCCACTCCACACAACAAGACACACACTGGGCCGACTGCGGTGTTCAAGTTATCCCGTCAGATGGCAACCCTCCAAGCCACGGCTTTTAGCGCACCGCGAGAGTTTCAAGCGCATCAGCTTGTTTATGGCGAGGAAAGAAATGCGCTGAGGGTCGACCTCACCACCTCCCACACCGCCAACAACAGGCCACCACCTAGCTGATCGGTTGCCTGAGATGGAATGGGCGAAGTGCTAAAAAGGAAAAGAAGTCGGAGATGAGGATTGTGGAGCAGGTTGTGCATGGTTGCCCATTGTAGTACACAGGTGCTAGGACAAAGCTGGAACCTTTTTAAACTTTTATGTTGCACTTGAAATGGTTATTTCGGAGGTGGCCAAGTAACTGAATGACTTGTTGTTCTTTCTGGTGAGGGATGCGGGGAGAGGTGGGGAATTCAGGCTGCAGTGGCAGCTCACCGTCCAGTTCACGATCCAGGGCCATGAAATCTGCGACTGTTCGATCCTCTTTACTGACAGCGCCCATTGTGTGCCGCGCAGCGTGACAGGGACGGTGACTTGCGCTTGCTAGTAAACTTGCACTGTATCTGTCACACTCTCTCCTGCCTGAACCCGGTATCTAGCCAAGGTTAAAAAGACTGCAGGTAGGATCGGGCGCAGCAGATCGTCTACGCGGGCCACACACACGACATATCATGGAGAAGTCAACGACACATGTTTGACAGCCGTAGGCAGGGTTTTTGCCTCATTGGCTACTGCAAATATGCCAGCTGTCAGTCATATTGTTTTTAACTTGTCACTGGAGAGGACATCTATTGGAAGAGAAGGTGAGCTAGGTGCTACTCTCGTTTCCCCTACTAAAAGCTGATGCACATGCAAGTCTCTGTTACCTCGTCGTGCTGTTGTGCTTGTTTTGAATAAAGATGACCTCGCTACCGATTGTATAGCTGAAGACTTAAACTTCTAAATACACCCTTAAATCGGCTTCAAAAGGGGTATTTTTAATGTCACTTTTCACGTAGCATATATGCTTGGTTTCCAATGACTTTTATACCCCCCCACTTACCTTTCAGGAGGGCTTCATCTACAATCTGAACGCCTCCTTTAACTACCAGGTGGTTGTTTATGGCGTCAAGTTTGATAATGGTGTCCGTCGGATTACGCGCTTCTCCGAACCGTTTGATGTGATACTTCCAGTAAGTCCTACCACACTGATTTCTGTACCGTTCATGTGTTCCTTCTATCGGCC